GTCAATCACGAGACTCGACTCAGACCTCGCAGGTCAAACCAGCTCCAGTCCCTAACTTATTTACAACACCTTGTAATAGGACAGTGTACGCGTTATGCCTGTGTAACTGGACAGTGCGCGTCATTTTGCGCACGCTGTTGCGATGCACTTTGTTGAGTAAACTGCGGTGTTTTTCAGCATTCATAACGACGTTTAATCATTCAGCGCTCAATCGATGGTTTGTTCGTTTCTCGAATTTTGACATAGTTTTGATTAATTGGTAACAGGGCACATAGCCACAGTGATCTTTTCACATGTGAAGATAACATGCTATTTTAACGTGTGAAGATATCTTTTTTTTGCGCGAAAGCTCTCCTGGTATTTCATTGGTTTTTATATAATGAAACTCCTTATTACAAACTGGATTATTGGATAATGCAATTCGAGAGTTTTCATTAGCTTAGCCGCCATGGGTTATAGGGCATTATCAATGATTATACCATGCTCTACAAATATGGTAAGCGTACGCGCGATTTTCTCGGGCGTTTTTATTTTAATTTTAGTCCAGTTTTCTATATTTTGAGGGCGTTTTTAACCCTTTGAGCTCCAATTATGCATATAAGCGTAATTAATGGTCGTACGCTTGGTACCACTTGTGACGTCATCAATTTAAATGTTATCAGATATTCTTGATAAGCAGATAATAGAACTAGGCTAGGCCTCTCCGTACAGTGGTCAGGTTTAGATATCGACGACATTCCGACATCGCAAATCGAAAAACAACGTTATCAGTCTTGGTGCAAAAACGGTCGTAAAATGTTCCACTATGCCTATGATTGATCAAGGTCCATTTCTAGGCTTCGCCCGTAATTAACGTCCAACTTTTCACGGCAGCCAGAAAGAACATGCAATGCGAAAGATAGCCGGAGTAAAAGGGCCGAGGAAAAAAGATAGGAAAGGGGCAACAAACAAAATCGAGAAGGGTAATGCAAAAAAACAGTCCAAATTTTGGTTTATGCGCATGCGCGAAATTGAAATATTGCTCAATTTGGTACGTAATCCTCGAAAAATCTCTCCTTTTGGTAAAAAAAGCTTTCAAAGCAAAACTTAAAAACGGTATTTTTTGGCGAAAATTTGGTATTCAAAGGGTTGATAGAACAATTATTCCACTCGTGCATGTTGGATATGAGAGGGTTATGGCGAACTCGGTGCTACGCGCCTCGTTGGCTATCTACCATCTCATATCCAAGGCGCGCTTGCGCAATAATCGTTTTTTTTAATACACTGCATCTCACTTGTCTCTTTCGCAGCAAAAGTGATCTAAGATAACCGAAACACGATTTTTTCCGCGCAATGCTCTTTTTCAAAATTGTTTCTTCATCAGAGTTTTGAGACTGTTTGTCTATTAAGGTGAGTTTGATATCATTTAGGAACTTGGCAAATAATAAAATCAAGAATGTAACCTGGCTTTCAAAGTCTGGGATCAAAACCTTAATCGACCTGTAAGTATTCTGGAAGAGTGTTTCATCGACTTATATTCTATTTTTTTAATCCAAGTTTGTGTTGCTCCCCTTGCTTTTTTTGTTTTGTTTGTTTACTTTTTTTATTTTTGTTTTCTTTTTTTTTTCTTGTTTTCTTCTTCTTCTTCTTCTCTTTTTTTCCTCCTTGTTGTTTAGGTTGTTCCCGATCTTCCTTTTCACCTTTTTAGGCAACTAAAGGAACTTGTAAATTTGTGACAAATTCAGTCTTTCTTCCATATAGAACAATGGATGAAAATGAGATAGATGGGGTACCGCTGGACTTCTGTCAAGACGTTTACACTATTTTCATGTAAGTAGCTCATTCAGGGATCATTTCAAACGGTCACTACATTTTCCAGCTTTCACAAATTTTGTAAACAAGCATTCCCATTTTTTTTACAAATGAAGTTTTAAATTGCTTTATCTTATTGGTGCACTTATGAAGGAATAAATGTTTTCTGTGCTTATGGTAGAATAAATGTTTTGATCACAAAATTTAAAAAAAAATCAGTTTTATCCATACAAGTGATAAAACTATAAGGACGTACAACAAAGGATGCTCTGAAAACTAAAGCACAATTGAGAGTCATGGTATCATATATAGAGAGATAGGATATTACATGCTCGCGTGGATACGAATTTTATCTTCGAGTTTTCAACTCGATATCTCAGAAGTGAGCGCAGCGAACGAGTGAGATGTTGAGTTGAGCACGAGAAGATAAAATTCATATCCACGCGGGCATGTAATATTCTGTTTATTATATAAACATACTAATGATGTCGTTTTTGACGATTTTCCGAAGATTTAGATTTTCCACGATGAAGATATGATTTTTCCTTTTACTAAAAAATCATAGACCCTTTGCATAAATGGCGACTACATTTAAATAACAATACTTATACATCGTTAGCCTCACATTCATGTAAAAAAATCCTTTGTCTTGAAACATGAGCACGAGGCTAAGAATGTACAAACTATTGTCATTCAAATTTAGACGCCATTTATGCAAAGGATCTAAATCTTCATCGCGCGCAGTGAAGATATAAAGGATATTACACGGTGGCGAGAAGATATGAATTTTATGTTTGAGTGGCAAGAACTACATCTCACTCGTTCGCTGCACTCACTCGTGAGATATTGTCTTTGCCAGGAGAACATAAAATTCATATCTTCGAGCTAACGTGTAATATTCTTTTTATTATATAGACATGCTGATGACCCCGTTTTTGACGATTTTCCGAAGATTTCCGACCACTTTCCCAAGATTTCCGACGATTCCGAAGTTCTCTTGAACAAAAAAAGCATTTTGTTACTTGCATCTTTGTCTAACCCTGTTGATGCATTATTTCAGTGTACTTGTCCATTACTAGTTGCTAATTTCTTTCATGGCATGCGACTGGTAGTCTTTTTTACACTGCAGTACACTTCATTGATAATTTTACTGGTGATTTGACTGCTAAATCAGATTTGTGAGTGCGTCCTACCATGTAACGCAATGATGCTGTCACTGTACCGAGCCCTCGCTTACACCATTCTTGACGAGTAGATCGTGGTCTTGTTTGATACGCTGGTTAGCAGTTTGAACTGCAGGATTTGTCTTTATTCTCTCACACCGATTGTTAATTTATGAAGAGAGATTGGATGTTCTCTAACTTGAGAGGCCTGAAGTCGTCAGTGCAAAATGAATCAGCCTTAGAAAATTTGTTTAAGTGTTTTGTTGCAATATTCCCGATATCGGGCACAATTTTTAAATGTACTTCCGTATGTTCTTTCGAGCTCTTGCTTCATCGGTTTTACTACTTTAAGCTACTTAAGCTTTAGTAAAGCTATTCTTCGGGTCAGGGTCGTAAATTTTTACAATTTTCATTTCATGCAGATTCTTTTTCCCAAACCGACCATGAACGAAGTTCTTTTAGGCAATAAAAATGGTGAGAACAGGTTGTTTCTGCGCATATTAGAGATCGAGACAACTGAAGGATGGAAAACATACCTGTCCAAAAGTTCCTTTATTTTGCTCCTTTGATTTATACGGAGACTTTTAAGCCAGAATTTCAATCGGCTGAGTGTCAATTTTTCAATCTGTTCTGCGCTCACACTGAGGCCGGGAATATCATCAGAAGAGAGATTGGCTTTTCTTCTTCGTTCGCCATGTTGCTTTGAATATCTACCGCGAGGGCTATTAAGCCTCGTTTCGGTGCAACTTCCGGTTTTTTTTTTTTCTGGAATCGGTGTATAGACTCATTGTTTACTTAAAATTGTAAAGAGAGAGACGCACAGGATTACGCGCCATTACAGCGCCGAGCTACAAACTCTCACAACTTCAAGAAACTCAATTGAATTTACCTACAGTGACTTTCCTTGCCATTTAAAGGTGAATAGAGATAAACTTGTGTTGATTAGTGGTCTATGGAAGTGTAAAAAGGGCGAAAGATTGACGATTACCGCTAATTCGTTCACGAAAATAGATCAACTTGACGGATTCCGCCCGCTGTGGCGGATGAGAAAATTCCGCCCGCTCCAGGAACCAATCACATTTGAGGATTTGTTGAATTCCGCCCGCTCACGAGCTGAGAAAGACATAAATAGAGGATATTGCACGGTGGCAAGAAGATATGAATTTTATGTTCGAGTGGCAAGAAAAGTATCTCACGAGTTAGCGCTGCGAACGAGTGAGATATTGTTCTCGCCACGAGAACATAAAATTCATATCTTCGAGCTAACGCGTAATGTTCTTTTTATTATATATATATATATATATATATAAAGTGTAAAATTTGATTTTCGTAGAACAGTGCTCAATACATCAGAG